AGATGAGATGGAGACATTAGAAATGAGTGATCCCCTATACATTGTAGCTGCTTCTATCTTTTGTGAAAGTAAATCTTATAGGGATCAATGGATTAATCTAAGTACCAAACCAGAAGAAATTCGAAAAGCTTGGATATCGGTCAATGGAAAGAAACTAGGCCTACTTTAGATTTGAGGACCTCCTTTTTTGTTTTTTTTTTCTTTTTTTAAGAAACAACTGAATTTTGCTAAGTTGCCAGTAATGTTGACTTTCTTAGAGATATTTTGAAGAATACATTGTTTTATTTTTTGTAAATGCAAGTTTTGATCATTTTTGCATAATAATGGTTTGCATATTATAATTTTCACTTTCTTACTTTAGTTTTAATTGTAAACAGATGCTAACTGGAAAGCAAAGGAAGGTGTTGAAAATTGTGGCATTATTTTTAATTATAAGAAAATTAAAAAGAAGATGTATAGGAAGGCGACCAGATACAAATTCGAAGTTAACTGGTGATGAATATGTCAATGAAATACATGATGGTAATCCAGCACACTCATTAGATGTGCTACATATGGAATTACCTGTATTTTCAAACTTATGTAATCACTTTCGAAGCAAAGGTTTATTAAAGGACAGCAGGTATATTGCAGTCGAAGAAAAAATGGCAATGTTCCTATATAGTTTGGGTAATCATACAAATCGTTCGACAAAACGAAGATATCAACATTCAACCCAAACAATACATAGATACTTTTATAAAGTTTTACATGCGATGCTTACATTTTCGAAGGAGATGATTGTCCCAAATTATAATCCAACCGTATACCATAGTGAAAGCCAACATCAACTTCGTGAGGAGTTTTTTCCGGTACTGTTTTTAATCTTTTATGTTATTAATTCATTTACATTTATTAATATTCATTTGATGTATTATCCGCTAATTTATTGTGTGTTATATTTAAGGGTGCTATTGGTGCGTTAGATGGCACACTTGTAAATGCAGTTATACCACGAGAGCACCAAATCCCATTTCGAGGAAGAGGGAAAGGGGATTGCTTTCAAAATGTTCTTGCTATATGTGATTTTAATATGGTTTACACATTTGTGTGGGCTGGGTGGGAAGGTGTAGCACATGACTCTAGAGTGCTGTCTGAAACTATGCGAGATCCGACAAGTAATTTTCCATTTCCTCCACCAGGTTAGCGGATTGACTCTTTTTAAATTACATTTTAATTTATGATGAGAGTATTATTTGTTTGGAACCCATATCAATTTTATTTGTTGCAGGAAAATATTGTTTATGTGATGCTGCTTATCCCCTTACTCGTGGGTTCTTAACACCTTATCGTAATGTGAGATATTGGTTATCTGATTTCCAATCTGGTGGACGTGCAAGAACACAAGAGGAGAAGTTTAATCAAACTCATGCGAAATTAAGAAATGTAATTGAGAGAAGCTTTGGTGTGTTAAAAAACCGATTTCCCATACTCAAGAGGATGTCACCATATCCATTTCCTACACAACGGAATATTGTTATTGCTTGTGTGGCTATACATAACTATTTGCGAAAAAATGGCGTCATGGATGATTACTTTGAAGAATTTGAAAACGAATACATCGAGATGAACAACCAAGAACATGAACAATCTCAAGTAGATGCAACAACGGGATATTTCAATGGAGCAAGTAGACAAGATGATAGGGATTACATGCTTAACCAGCGCGAAAAAGTATAAAAAATAAATTTTAAATCAATGCATTGGCTTCATGATTTAAATATACTGTTGATTTTTTATTTAAAACGATTAATATGTTTTTTTTATCAAAAAATGTTATGGAGTTGATTTTTATTCTGCATTTTTTTTTTATTTGTAAAACTAAGAAGAAATTGATATTATTGTTTAAATTTTATAGTATAATATGTGAAAAATATTTCTATTTGCACATATGGATAATTTAGTAAATTTTACCATATTCAGATATTTCTATGAAAAGTTATCAAACAACTTAATTAAATTCAGTGCCTAGTTTCAGATGCAGGGGGTAGATGTTATCAAACAACTTTTCAGATTCAGTCATTTATTAATCCAGACTTTAGATTTCAGTGTTCAGACTTCAGTGTTCAGACTTCAGACTTCAGTGTTTATCAAACGGAGCCTAAATTTCGATGGGTAGAATAAGATAGATATCTAGTTTAGAAAGGTGGATAACCCAATTCATTTTGTAATGGATATTTACCTATTTGAACTGATTATCCATTGTGTTTATACTAATTATCCAACCAGTTTGAACTGGTTATCCAACTTGTTTGTACTGGATATTTACCTATTTGGTTTGTATGCCTAGCAAACTTGTTTGTAATGGATATCCCACTTGTTTGTACTGGATATCCAACTCGCTTGTACTGAATATCCATCCATTTCGTTTATATGCTTATCCAACTTGTTTTGTAGTTGTAATCCAACGGGTTTGTATGCATATCCAACTTGTTTGTGCTGGATATCCAACTCGCTTGTAATGGATATCCAACTTGTTTGTACTGGATATCCATCCATTTGGTTTGTATGCCTATCTAACTTGTTTGTACGCACATGATATTTATCCAACTTGTTTGTAGTGGATCCATCCATTAGGTTTGTATGCATATCCAACTTATTTGTACTGGATATTCATTTGGTTTGTACTGGATATCCAACTCGTTTGTCTGGATATCCATCCATTTGATTTTTCTTTTTATTATTATTTTTTTGAAAAAAAGAAACAGTTGTCCAACGTGTTCGTATTGATTATCCAACTGTTCTGTATAGATTATCCGACCATTTCTTTTGTACTGACTATCCAACCATTTTGTATGCCTTATCCAATCGTTTTCACTGATTATCCAAACATAATTTCTCTTCTTTTTTTTTTCTTCTTTTGAGAGAAAAAACGTCTAATGTGTTCATACTGATTATCCATCCGACTTCTCGGTGATGGATGGTTATCCAACTTTTTTTTCCTTGCTCTTTTAATGAAAATGATTGTCCGATTTTTTTGTACTGGTTATCCAACCAGCTTGTACCATTTATCCAATTATTTTTAATGATTATCCAAATTATTTGTAATGCTTATCCAAATATTTTATTTTTTATTCTTTTCTTCTTTTTTTTTTGAAGATGAGTGAATGTAAAAAATATGACTGGATAACAAGTACAAACAAAATGGATAATCAGTCCAAACCGATTGGATATATCTCGTCGAGCACTATAAAATTCATTTATAATTTGTGTTCTAATTCTTTACGGATCAAGAAATATATGTAATACAAGAATATCAATCTAAACTAAGTTGGTTATCCATCTTCTTTTTTCTTTTTTTTTTTTTTTGAAAAGTTAATGTAAAAAATATGATTGGATAAAAAAAATAGGTAATTAGTCCAAACCGGTTGGATAATCAGTATGAACACAACAGATAATCATTTTTCAGTTTATTCATTTCTGCCCGTAAGATTTAAATGCATTTAAAGTTCAAAAGAAATATTCAACATTGATCTTATTGGATAGATCTCGTCGAGCACTATAAATTTTATATATAATTCGTGTTATAATTCTTTACAGATCAAAAGATATAAGGAACACAACAATATGAATGTAAAATAAGTTGGTTATCCATATTCTTAAACTGGATATCCAATGTGTTCATATTGATTATCCAACTTCTTTGTGGTGGTTATCCAGTATTTTTTCCTTGCTCTTTTATGAAAATGATTGCCAAACTTTTTTGTACTGATTATCCAACGTGTTGCACTGATTATCCAATTATTTTCTATTGATTATCCAAATTGTTTGCAATGCTTATCCAATCATTTTTTTTCTTTTTTTTTTAAGAGTGAATGTCGAAAATATGATTGGATAACAAGTACAAACAGAATGGATAATCAGTCCAAACCGGTTGGATAATCAGTAGGAACACAACGGATAACCATTTTTCAAAGAAAAATGAAAAACACATTTTTTCATTTATGCCCGTAAAATTTAAATGCATTTAAAATTTAAAAAAAAATTCAACATAGATCTTATCGGATAGATTTCGTCGAGCACTATAAATTTCATGTATAATTCGTATTCTAATTCTTCACGTATGAAGAGATATATGCAATACAAGAATCTTAATCTAAACTAAGTTGCTTATCCATCTTTCTAAACTAGATATCCATGTTATTCTGCCCATCGAAATTTAGTAATTTTTAAACTCGAAAAAAAATATTCGACATGGATCTTGTTAGATAGATCTCGACGAGTACTATAATTTTCATATATAACATGTTCTCTAATTTTTTTTACGGATCATGAGATATGGTCGTTTAAAGATTATAGATGTTTTTTAAAGGAAAGAGAAAAAAAATCAATGGGATTAAACATGTAAATTATAGGATGTTATTTAAAAAAGTAAAAAAAAAGTATAGTAAGGACTAGTACTGTAAAAAATAGGAAGGGTAGTATGGTGCCCCTGTGCACCCAATAAATTGCCCATAAATGTATATATATATTGTATCATTACTCGTACAGATAATCTTTATCCAGTTAATCAATTTTACAGTTTACCAATTTGTCGCACGCAGAGAAGGTTAAAATTCATCTAAGCTGAGAGATAAGACTTAATTAAGATGATACTATAATTATTAAATTTTATCGCCCAAAATAGATATACTTATAATAATCTAGTCATTTAATGGGAAAATCTGTTATTACTGTATTTATTGGATAATAATGTGGTACGTTTGGGAAACGGCTACTGCTTTTGATAAAATTTGGTTTATTCCAAGTGTAAAAAGAAAAAAAAAAAGAAGAAGAAGAAGAAGAAGAAGAAAAAACTATTACGTGTCATCCCATAATAATTAAAAAGTGCACAAACAAGTAATAAATCTATGATTTATCCCGAAAACCAAAAAATATATATAAAAAATATATATAAATGCACAAAGCAGAAATAATCGTACGAGGTATACTTTATCCGATTATTAGGATAGTTATGATTATATGAAGATTCCTCAAAATCTTATTAAAGAATCAGTCTTATCCACTATAATACAATTTTATCCACATCAAAGTTCTCCTCTCTATAAAAGCACTCCATCTGGACGTTAATCGTAACGTTATATTTTCTCAGAGCACCATCAGTTCTCTCCATAATCCCCCAAGGTAAAGCTTAATGTTTTCCAGTTTATTTTCTCTTATTGGTTTTTCCTTTCTCGGTTCTTTTTCCCGTTTGTTTGTGTAAAACAATTGTTGTGGATTTATGATTTCAAAGCATTTTTTTTTGTCACAAGGGTGTACATAATTAAAATTTACCATTGATAATAACATTGTGACTATATACGATTCATATAATCGATATGTGTTTTTTATGGTTCCTGTTGTTGTGAGTGATTATTCACTTCAAATCTTTGAAAGTGGAAATTAATGTATAGTTTAAGATCATATGATAGTTTCTCCTTAATTGGATTAAGATTTCTTTACGTGCAACACCGAGAGGGAGAAATATTATCTAAGGGAAATTTTATTTAATTTGGCGTGTTTGATTTTCACTCTGTACGTAAATATTGACATACATTGAATATTCTTTCCCGGAGTTCGTGAGAATTTTGTTCTTATTATATTGTTATTTTTGTGAATGCATATTTATTTCCAATGCTTAAACGTAGAAATTATTTTTTCCTTTTCTTTTTTATTTCCCTCCATCTATGATGGAATTCGATTTATTTAGAGAGGTTCACCAAGAGTTTTACTATATGTGTGTGGTTTAATTATGTATTACTCGTTCTTTAGTTACCATATCATATATGATCTGGATAACCCTCAATTGATTAAGATTTGCTTACCTAATTTCGCTCACAAAAAGGCAAATGGTTATGCGACAATCTTACGTATTTTCCTTTTTAAACTCAAGTGTAGGATAGAGAAAAGAAAAAAACTCCCTCCATAGCAATGAAATCACCATCAGCGAGAAGTTTATTATCCCCAATGGGGATATTAATCTTCCTAGTGCTTTTTGCATGGGTTCAAAAGGCAGAATCAGAAGAAGTCTACATGAAATATAAGGACCCGAAACAGCCAATGGTGACTAGAATAAACGACCTAATGTCAAGAATGACTCTGAAGGAGAAGATAGGTCAAATGACACAGCTTGATAGGGAGAATTTGACTGCTGAAATCATGAGGGATTACTCAATTGGGAGTGTTCTTAGTGGTGGCGGAAGTGTGCCTTTCCCAAAAGCAACTCCACAAGATTGGATGAATATGGTTAATGGCTTGCAAAATGGTTCACTTTCAAGCAGGCTTGGCATTCCTATGATTTATGGGATTGATGCTCTTCATGGCCACAACAATGTCTATAAGGCTACTATTTTTCCTCATAATGTTGGTCTTGGAGCAACCAGGTATTTCATACTTCTTTAGAATTGATATTATTTTGGGACTTATAATATAATGTGTATTATTTGTATATTATTTTGGGACGTGTAGCATAATGTATAACATAATGTGTATTATTTGTATATTATTTTGGGACGTGTAACATAATGTTAGCCGTTTCCCTTTCCATGAATGATAGGTACGATTATTACTTTATTGGTTAATTTGAACAATAAACCAATTAGATCATAATTAATTTTGAATCTATGAATCAAGGGTTCCTTTTGCAAATAGAAAATATTCGTACTCCTAACATTATAAATAATTTTCAGAGATCCAGAGTTGGTGAAGAGAATTGGAGAAGCAACAGCTCGTGAAGTTAGAGCTACTGGAATCCAATATGCTTTTGCACCTTGCATAGCGGTACCATATATAAACTAAATTCTATCAAGATTGCATTCACTCTTTCATAAGTAGACTATTAAAATGGGAAGAAAATAATAGATCAATTCTAATCTCATTGACGTTAATGTTCACATCGCAGGTTTGTAGAGATCCAAGATGGGGTCGATGTTTTGAGAGTTATAGCGAGGACACTAGCATTGTGAAAGAGATGACTACAATTATTAGCGGCTTACAAGGAGAAATCCCTCCTGGTTCTCGAAAGGGTGTTCCTTATCTCGGTGGACAGTAAGTCTAAACAAACTTTTGATCCATTTTCAATTTTAATAACCTTATTAAAATGATAAAGAGTTAATCTGTCTTAAACATAATGCATAATGCGTGTTTTTTAAAATTGTTCTTTTGTTTTTCTTATCGTAGGGATAAAGTTGCAGCTTGCGCGAAACATTTTGTGGGGGATGGTGGTACAGTTAAAGGGATTGATGAGAATAATACAGTGATTGATTTTAAAGGATTGCTACACATTCATATGCCAGCATATTATTCATCAATCATTCAAGGTGTTTCTACTATCATGGTTTCTTACTCTAGCTGGAATGGACAAAAAATGCATTCGAATCATATGCTTATAACCAAATTCCTCAAGGGATACTTAAAATTTAAGGTAAGATAGACTAATAGTTCGTCAAATATTTTATCCTTTGATTTTTGTTGTCATGGTTTCTTTGAAACAATAGTGTATCTTCTAATAAACTTTTAACCTTTGTTTTTCGTTGCTGTGAAACAATTTCTAGGGTTTTGTCATATCAGATTGGCAAGGACTTGATAGGATGACTTATCCAGTACATGACAATTACACGAACTCTGTTCTAACAGGAATTTCTGCTGGAATTGATATGGTTCGTGTCACTTACAAAGTTTCCAGTGCTATTTGATTTTCTTTTTTTTTTTTTCGATCTAGCTTGCCCTTTTTTTTTTAGGGATGAGCGTAGTATGATTTAAGTTGATTATGCAAGTTTGATTTTATTTTTTTTTTTAACATTTTTGCAGGTCATGGTACCATACAATTATACCGAATTTATTAATGATGTGACATACTTGGTTGAAAACAAGTATATTCCTATGAGCCGAATTGATGATGCTGTTAGGAGAATTTTGAGAGTTAAGTTTAGCATGGGTCTCTTTGAACATCCCTTGGCTGATCCGTCTATGGTCAGTCACCTTGGTGCTCAGGTAAGAAAAATCTAAAAGCTTTAACATCCTTTACATTTGAAAGCAACTATTTACGTTTCGTGACAAAATCAAAATAAAATTAAAACAAAAAAACAGAAAATAAACATATCTATTTATATTGTTAATATGATTTAATGTATTGAACAGGCTCATAGGGACTTGGCCAGAGAAGCTGTTAGAAAATCACTTGTACTTTTGAAAAATGGCCAAAATGCTGATGAGCCATTGCTTCCACTCTCTAAAAATGCATCAAGGATTTTAGTTGCGGGAAGCCATGCAAATAATCTGGGGAACCAATGTGGAGGTTGGACTATTACTTGGCAAGGACTTACCGGCAATAAGAATACTACAGGTCTTTTTTTCTAGGTTCTTTTTTTCTTTCTTTTTTTACATATAACAATGACAATTAAGCGTTTGTTTTGTATTTCTAATGTTATTTTTTAGGAGATGAGTATTCCTTACGTCTTTTGTTTCTATTATATTTATAGGAACTACCATATTAAGTGGTATTACGTCAGCTGTTGATCCGTCCACTGAGGTAGTCTACAAGGAGAATATCGACTCAAGTGATTTCGTCAAAGATAACAAATTCGACTATGCTATTGTTGTTGTTGGAGAGCCTCCTTACGCTGAATATGCAGGGGATAACCTCAATTTAACAATTCCCGCTGAGGGTGCGACAACACTGACCAATGTTTGTAATAATGTTAAGTGTGTGGTGGTCTTGATTTCCGGCCGGCCGCTTGTCATCCAACCTTACTTGGCCAATATTGATGCTTTTGTTGCTGCTTGGTTGCCGGGAAGTGAAGGTAATGGTGTCTCGGATGTACTGTTTGGAGATTATGGATTCACTGGAAAGTTGTCTCGGACTTGGTTCAAAACGGTTGATCAATTGCCTATGAACTATGGTGATGAGCATTATGATCCACTATTTCCACTTGGATATGGTCTTACTACGGCCCCTCTTGAAGCAAGTTCATAGAGAATATTATTTTTTAAGTTTTTTCAACTTATGATTTTTCTAGTGTTTAGAGAGATAGAGTTAATACTTTTCATTAGGAAATAATCAAAGAGAGACCTTTACTTGCTATGTTACAAATATTTGCGGCTATTTTAAATTTATCAGTCTTGTCTATACAACTTTCTCAATTATTTTCTGCTGCGAGAGGTCCTCAGCGTGAATAGACTTTATTAGTCGTATATATGTTTTTCCCTTTAGTCTTTGTTATTTATTCCATGATATTGTATTACTCTTTTCGTAAGTACTCAAAAGGAACACATAAGTCGCATCAATAGTTTCTCGGCATTATTTCTGCGATGAAACTCCCAGTGAACTCAAAATTCGTACACGAGAATATCTGAGTAATTTTACCTAAATTTGACGCGAGAATTTAGAGCATTGTAAAGATCAATGTAATTACCCTAATAGATATTTTGCAATTAACACCAAAACACAGATTCTTTAAAAGAGCTGTGTTCGTTACATGTAGCCAAAGATCTCTGAAAATCTATAAACATCCAAAGCAATACTCAAGCAGAAGGGAACATGTACACAATTTAAACCAGGCTTTGTACGGATACATTTACATCAAAGTCCAGACCTTGTACAGCCAAGTCTAGAAGTTGGCATTAGAGTTAAAACTGTACTGCATTAGAGTATACTACTCCACTTCAAAGAAGATCATGCACCGACTGATTTCAAGAAAAGATCAGTCAGGATAAAGAAAACCTTCTTCCAACACTGTCTTCAAAGACCATCTGCACTTAAGAATATGAACGGCATATTTCAGGTAAAAACTGATATAAAACACATTAAAATTCAGGGTACAGAGCAACAAAGAAGATGTAAAGATGCATAGAGAAAGGCTAACCTCATTCAGCATTATGGGATTGATCATGTTCAATAAAGTCCAAAGCTTCCTCCTTTGTCACTACATTCACACGGCTAACCCTATTTTTGTGTGTGACACCATAGATTTTATCAGCGACTTTTACAAGCTCAGCTCGAAATGTTGTGGTAATGAACTGCGAACTTTCCATGTCTGCCAGACGTCTTACCATGTCTGTGGAGTTGTAAGTTAAAGGATGCCCACTAATACCAATGGGATGGGATACACAGACATCAGAAAACAAACAAGAAAACTTGATACGAAGTAAAAAGTCAGATCTTTTAATGATCAATTTGCATGTATCACCCAGAAAGTTACAAACAAAGCCAACAAATAGCAATTTCCTACAACTTAACTTGTATTGAAAAACTCACGTGCAACAGATGCAGAACTGAACATATGATCCAACCAGTAAAAGTAGACCAACAGAGACAATCACGCTCAGCTTGTCACGAAACATAAATCCAAAACAGATTCAAACTTCCATTGACATGATAGAGAAATTTATATCTGCAGAATATTTGATGAACAGTCAAGCGACAGAACCGAACAACAGAAAAGACAGTGGACAGTAAGAGAATAAAAAATTAATGGCTAGACAGGTATCTCTACACATGCTCCAGCTAACCTAGCCACTAGTATTACATAGAAGAAATTGTTTAAAACTGGAAGTTTGACATAGGAAATGGGTTCCTTTTCTCATCAAGCCGAGCAAGAAAATGTAGTGAATCAGCAAGAAATTCAATCATAACAAATTAACAAGCAAAACACAATTCACAGTATCAGGAAATGTTTGATTAATGCTGTAAAAGAGGATACTCCCAACAGCTGTCCTGTATTGAGGATCCAGGGCAGCATCTATCTCATCAAAGAGATAAAAGGGGGCAGGATCACAACGTTGTATAGCAAAGATCAGTGCCAGTGCAACAACGGTTTTTTGTCCTCCGGATAATTGTTTCATTGATTGGGTCTCACCTTGCCCAGTAAAAGACACCTGCCACACAGTTAATCAATGGGGAAATAATTATGCTACTAATTTGTTGCCCAACATTATACTGCGTGCTTGGGATTTGACAGTAAGAACAAATTTCAGGCCAATGAGCATTCAGGCTACAATGGTTCCTTCTTGAAGTCTATCCAACCAAATTTCGACTCTCAAAGAATGCTACTAGATATACATAAAAGTGATACAATAAATGAGACTTTCTTGAGAAGATTGAACCAAAATAAGGAGGAAACAAAAAGGAAATGCTGAAAAGAAGCTCAAACCTTCACTTTGACACCAACATATTTTTCAACTCTACCCTCCGCATCAGCTGCACGTTGTCCTTCCTCGTCACTATCAGCGTCATCTTCATCACCATCCTGAACATTCATCATGAAGAAAAGAGCATAAGTTTAATTTCACCTGAGAAGGATAAGTAGAACAGATTAAACTATTTCTTCATCGCATGAGAAAAGGATCCATCAAACTATATACTTCAATAGCTTCTCAGTAGGAAGGAGTAAACTAGGTGAAACTTGAAAGCTTAGACATCATGAGTAACAAGAAAAAACAGATGCAACTAGCAGAAAGGTATTTTGATGCAGCACTTCTACATTAGGTATAGGTCAAAAGCTTATCATAGAAACCCAAACGAACAGTGTCCACACTCTTCCCCTCCCCCCACACCCTGCCACAACACTTCCAAGACCACTAGCACACAATTACAAACACCGACCTTTTTCTTCATCATAATCAAAAACCCATGGCCTCCTTGAACCAGCTCAGAGAAAACTTCTCGGAAATGCTTAGCCACACCTTTGAATGTACGCTCTATTGATTCATCCTTTCTCATATCCAATACTTTTATAAGTTCTTTAATTTTCTGCAAGTAAAACAAATAAAGCTGAAATAAATAGCAGCCCAGTGGAACCCTACGTGTCATCAATTATATTGAATTTTGATGCATAAAAAGTACTTCATCGCCTGAATCCAGTTCAGCTTGCCGTCTTTGGAGCTCCTCCCGTTGCTCTGTGAAATTAACATACTGGTCGAGTGCTTTTTTATTCACATGGCTGAACTTTTGCAGTTGTTCATTGCAATTGTGAAGCATCTTATACAACTCTTTCATACTCTTCCTCTTATACCTGAAATTAATATCAGATCACAAAGGATATTAACACCAAGCAAAACTTAAATAATAAGATTAGATATACTTCCAAATATTTAGACTAGCTGTAAGGTAGCTGGTGGAATAGGTGGCACTGGGAAACGTACGCCCAACTATCCTAAAATCTCCAAATCTTAGGGAAAACCAATTTGATGGAGCAAATTGTGCAGCCAACACACAGTAAACATAATTTTCATTCCTCACTCTACAGTTTACGATTATGTTACACAACTTTCTCAATCACGAATCATCAACAGATCTACAAGATTGGTAACGGTAAGTACTCCAATAAGAATGTTCATTTGAATGGGATGAACTTAACATGTGAAGTAAATAACACTGGCATAGGTTGAATACCATAATTCCCACGTGTACAGATGCACCAGTATGATAGAACAAATAGCATAAGCAGAGGAGATTATTCTGAATGGCGGAAGATAAATAGCCCAAAAAATGTTCAGATCACACATGAATACCTTCTACTGGAAAGTAAGCAATAAGGAAGGTACCTCTCAAAAGCATCTGAAGATAAAGGACCCAATTCCCGTATTTTCTTGGAGTATTCTTCTTGTTTGGCAAGCAATGTGTTTCTTTTACTCAATAGCTGTTCTAGCTCTTTAGCTTCATCTTGGAGAGTACTCTCGTATTCATCTTCCAAAGCCTTCGGATGACACTTAACAAGATTAAAAATGGTCAAAGAGCAACTAGTGAAATTGAATGCTAGAAGAAGGCTACCTTTTTCCGATCTTTTTCAGCTTTGATCTCTTTAATTTTCTTATTCCGTTCATCTATACTTTGAGAAACTCCTGAAAAAGGGAATGCCAAGTTAAAACTTAAATGAATAAACAGATTACAAAGTCATTGAAGTGTTTCAAAATCTTACTCTTTAGCTGCTGTGTTAAATTTTCAACCAGATCATTGGCTTCCGCCAGTTCTTGGATAATCACATCATGTTTACTGCGCAACACCTTAACATCTGCAGACATTTTTGTTGCCTCCAACTCTTGCTTCCGCCTCACTAAATTCGTTGAGAGATTCATCTCAAGCTCAGCCTTTCTTGTTTCCGTCTATCAGTTACAATTAATAATAATGAGAACAATACTTAATTAAATAACAAAAGTAGAAATCCTTTTCCTACTAATAGCAAGCAGTAAAAGACCTCAATTCGATTGGATCTGTAGGTATTTAGCTTTTCCTTAAGAGCTGTTATCTCAGGGTTTAGCCTAGAAAGGGAATCTCTCTCCTCTTGCGTCAAGTGATCAACGAGTTCAGTACCCATCTCATCTTGTTTCATAGAAATGCTGGCCTTGAGCTGATCAACTTGAGTCAAAACATTTGAAAGCAACTTTTCCTAATAAAGCAACAAATTTTATAGTAAGCACATCACTAACATTTGGTACCAAGAGTATGTATAGCAGATAAAAGTAATTCTGGAACCTTCTTCTCGAGAGATTTTAAAATGGAATGTTTTTGTTTATCTGCATTTGCCAAATCCTGCCTCAGTTGTTCAAGTTCTGATTCATCATGAGCCAGCTTGGCATCATTCTTCTGCTGCTCAGAAACAAGTTCATTGATTTTCTGGTCTATCTGTGAGAAAAGGTTAAGCGAAAACAGATATTGGCGGATGTAAAAGTTTAACCAGAAACCTCAATTGGACATGAGCTAATCCATTTCTTGTGCATGTACATCAACAAGATATTGAACAATTCCATGAAATTGCAGGCATAATACATACAGCTTTCCATTTTATCAAAAGAATGCTAAAATTCATTTAAGGATATCTTGAAGTTTAATTTTAATGCTATCCAGCTCTTTCTGTTTTGTGGCAATAGAGATAGTATTTTGCCGAATTGTACTCATAAATTTCAATCTAGAACGGCGGTAGTCATAGAACCCTCCGGTCATGCCACCTTTCTTGCTCACCTGATCCCCTGTACGAGAAAGTAAACCATAAGGCAACAAAAGGACCAGAAGAGTCGATCCATAAAGTGATACTAGATTCCTAGTCTTATACCTTCCAAAGTTATACAGTCCAATCCGTCAGTTCGAGCAACCCTTGTAGCAACATCCAAATCTCGACAAATAACAGTCCTTGCAAACACCTAAAACAAAAAGAAATAATAGATGGAGAAAAGAAAGAAAAGATCTTTTACAACTGAATTGAAGAGTACAATGTGCTAAGCACAACAAAGAAGTCAGCATAATGAAATATGAAACAGATGGGAAATCAGAAAGAACTTTCCAGTTTCCAACCTGAGCAAAGGCCGGCGCATGGTCACGAGAAAATCTCAATTTTTTCAGAAGTGGTATGACATCAGAGCTTTGCGGGTAATTAACATGTGGAGCTTTGACCCTGTTCAAAGGAATGAATGTAACCCGCCCTCCTCTTTGATTATTAAGATGCTTGATAATTTGGGTTGATATCTCATCATTTTCGACCACCACATGAAATAAACTGCACAAAAAGAATAATAGCAGTTATAAAATGAAGAAAATAAGGCAAATAATCGATCATTTAAAGAGCATGCACCTGTTTCCAGCAGTAACTTCGACAGCAGTGAAAAATTTCTCATCACATTCAAGTAGCTCAAAAATGGGCCCAAGTACACCAGATATTCTATGTTGCTTTATTATCCCCTTCACCGAGTTCAATCCCCTCCTAATATCCTGAATTCGAACAATCTTAAAATTATTACTTGAAATACTCAGCTATTTGGAAAACACATACAAAAATTACAAGAAGCAGTAAATCTTAGCATCTTCAATTACCTCCTACACACGATGTATTTTATGGTGCCACAAAATCATTGATTTTCTTGTGGTGTTTATTATTATTTTTTTCTTCTATCTCAACAGCCTAAACTCTGGGTACACACTATATATATCAAAGGTTTTGACTGTAGAGTGTTGTTTACTCTTTTTCATCATGGTGAAACAAGGAATATTTAAACAGTCAAATGAATTTTAAAAGAAAGACATTGTTTCTTTTTCCGCTCTATTGCCTTGATTGACATACTGTGTCTTCTTAGTCAGTACAATAATGTGAAACCATACCAGGAAACAAATGACTGGCAGTCTCACGCATAGAATAGTCTCAAGATGGTCTATGGAAAACCTTTAATCAAACTCTCAACTCTTAAGTAAATGGGAAATTGATCATAAAGTGACCACTACAACAGCAAAACAGAAAACATGATAAGATTGAATTTTACTATCAAATGAGAGCAAAACTTTTCAAACGTTAAAGGAGTACTTACACCTGGAGTAGCATGATCTAGGCTTTTCTCTGCCTTTACCACTTCTGACTGAAGCCGCTCAATTTCTGAAGAGAGTTCAGCTTCCTTTTCCCATAAAGACCTGAAAGTTAAAACATTTAAATGATTTATGCGATGCTTGATTTATTTTCCAACTAGGAAGCCTTCACTTTTTTCCAATCTAATAAAAAAACGATAAGATATCCAAACTACAATTCTTTTTCACTCAGATTAAAATTCCAAAAAAATCTTCCTCACATTAATTTCAAGAATATTTAAAATCAACTTTTATTTCTCTCTGCAAAAATCAGTCACTCAACAAAAACTCCATTTCAATTCATATTTCCAAAGATGAAATCAAACACAGCCATAATCCGCAAAAAAATCTTAGAAGAAGACTGGCACGTAAAAATATATCATACTTCCTCTCAGAATGCAAAGTATCTCTCTTTTTTCTGAATTCACGGACAACATCTCCATATCCATCCATGAGAGTTTTTAATGCAGTTGCTTCATTTTTCCGACCGGATAAATAGCTATCCTGCATCTCCAGATCTTTTTTTAGCTGATCAATTTCATCCCTCAGTTTCCTCTCCTGTGGGATGAAAACGAGTAATTATCAAAACCATAATTCCCTTGAAAACCATTAACCCTGTTAAAAAGGAAAATATGTGCAGCAGCAGAGGAGAAATGAAAACACAAGAATAGAAAATTTAGCACAGCCGAAAATTAATAAAAGATGAGGAGGTAATTCAGATCAAATATCATTGAGCAGGAAGATTAAATTACAACTTTAAAACAAGTGAAACAAAACTGTGCTCATAAAGGAGAAAATAAATGACAAATTTTTTACTTAGGATTTTCCACCACTTCTAACTTACCCCCCAGACCCCAACCGAGTTGGGAATATACTGGGTATGTTGTTGTTGTTGTTGTTTCCACCACTTCTAACCTACCCTGTTCTAGTTCAGACACCCAAGCAAACATCATAACTCCTCACACTGATTCAAAAGAAAAGGATGAAACTATATATTAAATATGTAAACTTTTGCCTAGCAACCCGGAGCATCTCATCTAAGCTATTCTTCAACTATATCTCTTCAAGAACACACCACAATCTGGAGGTAATTACACCATGTCATCTCTCTCTACAAAGACATACTTTGGAGTAATGTAGCAACGCCAGATGCAGCCCTATATAATGATCGATTAAATTTCACACTGATGCCAAAGAATATTAACACCATTCGTGATTCATAAAAATTCTCTAGAAAGGTCTCACGGAGAATATCAACTAAAATCCTCATCTATAACCACAGACAAAAATCATGGCTCATGAAAGAGCACCGCAAGAAGTAAACAAGATTCTTAAAAATGCTTCTTTAAGCTTCTTTAGCCATTAATGGACTATGTTCCAATGTATGGATAGTCTTTCTCACTTGAAAACAAATCAATAACTTTCCCTGCTAGTGTACTAATTCTTTCCCCAAAAAAAAATGAGGAAAAATGATGGAAAAAAACTATCCACAATTCTAAAACATGCCCTGAGATTCAAGGCAAGAGCAAGAAGGTCACATGCGACAACATTCCACCAGCATGGGAATCAGCCACGTGAAACCATCTTCCTTCTCTACTTATCTAAAATCAAACATCTATGGCGATATTCAACAATTCACATCCTGACAAAAAAGAAGTCACCTGTGTTAAGTTTGAAGCCAGAACTCTGTCATACTCTTCAATTTCTTTCTGAAGCCATTTATCACGAGCAGCTTTATTAGCAAATTGGGTAGCACGCCCTTGTTTCTGATATAGAATGCTAAGCTGCTTTTCACGTTCCATAATTCTGCATGACACCCAACACAAGTAGGCCAAAAAATCTTCAGAATAAGTGGTGTGCTGTTTGAAAATAGTTTAGAGCCCAAAAGAAAAAGAAAAGAGAAGAAATTTAATTTGAAATGAAAGAGAGCAGTAGGTGCAACAGTTGCGCCTCATGTGCCCATCAAGAGGTCGGGAGTTCAAACCCCATCAGCTGCATTAATACAGCATAGGAATAGAGGGAAGCACAATCGTACATTCCTTCTGCACAAATACAGCATAGGATTTCAAACCCCATCTGCTGCAGTTGCCACATAGATATTTGAAAGGATTACAAGATGGCAAGAGCAGAAATCTACATGGAAAGTGTCATTCCTTAGTTTTCCCCCTCTTACAGCAACTAAATTTTACATTCATAAGGTCCGGTATGAGGGCCAAACAAAATTTTATAACATTATTCGAATCTGGACAAGATCAATAGCATAAGCAGATTGTATTTCTCGCCAGAAGTAGTAATGACATACCCTCTTGTTATCTCCTCCTCCTCTCTGACTTGACTTTCATAGAGAGGCTTTATACTGTTCAGTTCATTAGTTGATTCATCAATTTCTTTCTCCAGAAGCTTAAGCTGTTTTGCCGCCTCTTCCTGAAGTCCCAAAAGCAGAAAATGAACACATGCAATCCAAAATAACCATTATACGGATTTAAGCAACCAAGAGAACAGCCAGTTTGGAGGCTGATAGGTTACCTCTGCCTTCTTATTGGCTGATATTTTATCTTGTAGGTCTTTTTCATCTAGCTCAAGCTTTGCACGCTGTTGAATGGCTTCAGTGCGTTGCTTTTCCACAGCTTCTTTCTCTTTGGCTAAAATCTGAATCTCTTTTGTTAGATCTTTGTGATCTCTTTCTAGCTCCTTAGACTTCTCATGGGCATCCAACACACTGTTATACATCTTGTTGGATTTTTCTGAAACCCGATTACGAGAATTCTCTATCTGAAATCATGTAACAATCACAAGATAAAGAAAATTATAAAAATACATAAATAAATAAATGCCGAAGGATGTGCTATAAGCTTCAAATTACTGAGCATAAAGTGCAACAAAATACAGCACAAAACAGCAATGCAAAATATCTGTCTAAGGAGAAGAAAAGCCCCACAAAAGATAACATACAAACATAAACTTAAAATTGGAAAACAAAAGAAAGTTCAGCAAGAAGATAAAAGAAGCTTCCTACACGAATTAATAAGAACTTTTATACGGGTATGTGTGCAAACGTGCATGTATATTATATAGAATTAGCATTAAATGGTGTTCCTGATGCTGATTTTGACAGCTATTATAAACCCAAAAAAAACACACCAGAGCACCAAAGAAATTAAGTATGACAATGAGTCGAAATTGTTCAAAAGATCTGAGAATCCGCACGGAAAATTGTTCAAATTAATGTATTACAGTGAGCAAAATGGCTAACCTCTATCAGTTTCTGCCTTGCATCATGAAGTTCTTTGTCAAATATTGTGTATTCCAGAGATTTCCGCTGCTTGTCTAATTGCTGATATTGTTTTAGTTCTTCTTTTTCTTCATCCAGTTCTCTGAGCCTTTCATCCAAGTACTTTACAACTTCAATTATTTGCTTCCTTTTGTTACCTGATAAAAACCAATAAACATTAGCCACAATTAAAAACTATCCCTCTATCCTAAAAGCACACAAATAAGATAAACTTGCCAGTTTCTTGCATAATTTTCAAACTTTCTCGGCGTCTCTCTTCATAAACTCGTGTCCCACCAATTTCCTTCAACAAATCAAGCCGTTCAGGATCCTTCATCAATGTCAATGATGCTATCTGCAGAAAATTCAGCAAGGAGAATGAACGTGATGGATACATCAAAATCCAATATAGGAATAACATAAATGCTTTCTCTTTCAAGGAAAAGCTTCATACTTTCCCCTGCTGCACCACATAGTAAGGATTTGATCGAGAAAACCCAGCACTTTCCAGCAAATTCATCACTTCAGTCTTTCTGCAAATAGTTTCATCTTAACGATTCACCCAGACGAGTGTTCAAAAGATAACAAAAAGAAAGAACAACTTTCTTCACAGATTTTCTTATAAATGATGTGAAAGTACCCACGTGATGTGTTTGCCATCCAAAAAGTATTCATCCTTCTTAAGGCCAATAGTTCTCCTCAACCGCACTTCCTCTTTATCAACCTAAAACAAACAATGAACTTTTAAATGATAGCATAACCTCAGATCTGCCTAAAAATTGACTGTATACAAAACAGAACAAAGCACGATAAGCAAAGTAGGAATAGACAGAGAGCATATGGAGATCTCGAAAGTTCATTACACAGATACATATACATCTGAACACGCTTCGCCATATTCCAATCTATTTCAATGTGAATTGAAAGGTTTCATGACTTCATAAGTGCATAAGAATCAAAATATTCCTAATTTAGTTGGTGATTCATTAATCTACAGGACAGTCATTTTGCTTTGTCTAAAGCAGTTTTACTTCAATGAAATGTATCTCTGAGATGATTGATTGTGTCTGAATTCTTCCAAAGCCAACCAAGACGGAAGCCAACCATTTCAGCTTGAAATTTAAGGACCCACTGGTTTATTAAGAATACAAGTCAGATTACCAGAAAATCCACAGCAAGAACTTCCACATAAATCTTTAAGGTTCTATCACCAGGTAGATCAAGTGAAACAACATACAGCATGGATATTTGAAAGAAAATCACATGATCTCATTAGGTGAAAATTGACACTACCATGGAAATAGAAAAGCTCAAGGATTCTAACAGCCATAATAGAATGAGATAGCAAAAAAACACTATTGATGTTCACTTTTGTAAGAGATCTCAAGCAAATTGTTTATCCAATTCCCTATGTTTTAGATTAGCTAACATAATGCCACCAAGCAAGTATGATTTACTGCATAAAACTAGAGAAGTTCCAATGTGGGATACAGTACTACAGTACTGCAAAATGAAGCAGCATAAAAGACTTGAAGCAGAAGCTAATCACCGATAATCCCTTTAATAAAGTTAAAATAAAAACAAAATGGCCTGCAATAATATTATTTAACCATTCTATTATCAAATCACCTCCATGAGATAGAGGCAGCAATCTAATGTGGATAATCTAAGATGTAAATAACCAAAATTAAACAATTTCAAATTATCTAAGATAATATAAATAACAAACCAGAAAGGAGAGAAACCCCTGAGTACCTACTTAATTCTTAAACTCCATCATCAAATAACCAAATCAAATGGCTTGACCACTTGGATCTATTAGTGCTAACAGATGTTTAGATATTATTTAACCCTTCTATTATCAAATCACCTCCATGAGATAGAGGCAACAATCTAATGTGGATAATCTAAGATGTAAATAACCAAAATTGAACAATTTCAAATTATCTAAGATAATATAAATAACAAACCAGAAAGGAGAGAAACCCCTGAGTACCTATTTAATTCTTAAACTCCATCATCAAATAACCAAATCAAATGGCTTGACCACTTGGATCTATTAGTGCTAACAGATGTTTAGATAAGGCCCTTTTCAGACCAAAGGGAGGAGTTGATGTTTATGATCCCAGAACTTAAAATGGTTCTAAATAGGATCCTAAATCTAAAATTGTTAGCCAAACCTAAAGCTTATTCCACAGCTATCCCGATCAACCATAGGTTTACTAACCATGATTTTTTCCTGATCATAAATAAGTGCCTGCCTTCTCCTCTAGCGTTGTCTTCTACTATGCTTCTAATTCTAATTTAGCTAACTCATGGGAATTAGTGTGTGTTTTCCAACTCATTTTCCAAGCAACTGCTTATTCTCTTAGTCACCAAAGATGAACACTGGAAACTATACAGGCACCACATTGGAGAATTAACTTAGACTTTATTTTACAATCAACTTAATTAATACTAGCATTACTTAACTAAGACTTTCTTTTATAATCAACTTAATTAATACTAGCATTACCAGCACTTCATCAACTTCCCAGCCAAAAGAACTTTTATTGGATGTAAGGATGACATAAAGGCCATAAACAGAATGCATACTGGACTGCATACGTCATAATAGATCTGTAAGTAAACTTGTCCACTCTCTTACAAGTTTAGGCCTGTCTACAGTCATTTGGTATACAATTCTGAGCATCCACTGGTTATATTCAAGGTAACTATTTGGCAACTAGTGAACGATTGGGTAACAGAAGATAAAGCATAACACAAACAAAAGAATGTATGGCCACAAAAGAAACACCTATTTAGTGTTCTAGCTCAAAGATGATCTGTAAAGGCTACAAATAAATAGATGATTAAGACTTACCGGGATGCGATTGTCAGAGTTGTCAAACACAATCTCCACAAAAGCAGATTGAAGCTGGTGTCCAGCTCCTTCCTATAAATTCCACAAAATAAAGGTTTGAGTAGAAAGGTGAACATATTTATTTTCATGATCGGGTTAAAAATTTAACATCAGAGTTAAACTTACGTGAAGTAAAGCATGCCTTTCTTCTACTCTCAGGTTATGGAAGAGGTCACTGATGACAAACCGAATCGCTACAATCCAATGAACACATTCAAAACAAACATATGAAAAATAAAAATTCCACAAATAAATCTTAAATATGCATGCAGTAGCCAGAAAATTAACCACAGTAATACAGCAAACACGTACCATGGAAAAAATTAGACTTCCCAGAGCCATTTGCACCAACTGAACAAAAGAATTTAACGAACAAACAATAAATTATTTTCAAAATCAAGTAAACGAAAATGGAAATTAGAGAAATTCGAATCATGAAACAACATTTACCAATACAGTTGACTTTAGGGCTAAAAGGTTCAGTAGCAATTTGCTCTTTGTAGCTCTTAAACCCTTCGATTACAATCTAAACACCAAATTAAACACAGGATTAGTTTCATAACTTATAAATAATTAACCATTTCAAACGAATCATTAACTACCTGCTTTATATACATGATTGCGCCAAATCACCAGCGCTCAACAGCTCCTTCTGCCAAAATTATCCCAGAAAAAAAGACGAAACAAAATTACAAAAACTTCATCTACACCTTCTGAACAACGGAATCGTTTCAGTAGAACAGACAAAAAAAAAGAAATTAAACAGTTCTTGTTACCCCGAGTAAGCTCAAGTCGAGAGCAGAACCCTAGTTTCAGTTTTGCTTTGGCGAAATTTCGTCTCCTGCTGACTGAAAGGAGTATGGAAGTTTGGACGGTAAAATAGGGCTAATTTGAACCGAAAAAAGAAGGCGCCATAGCCGGTGTAAGCTTAAAAACAGAACTCGAAAGACAACAGGACAGGGGAGAGGGGGAGGGAGAGTAAGAAGAGGGATGAGAATTTGGAGGGAATTTGTATTTTACTTTTTATTTTTCACAAACAAAGCAACAATTAGAGTTGGAGGGAAGAAAAATTTCCTCTCTCTCTCTCTCTTATTTGTTCGAATTAAAGTAGTAATTATAAAACTTCACTAAGAAATGATATAGGTAAAGTATGAATTATCCTTCTAACCTTAAATTTATAAGGCTCCGTATGGTTGGAATGAATTGGAATTGAATTAAAATTACAATCCAAAAAAATTGAAATTGAAATATTGGGATTGAAATTCAATCTCAATTCATTTGTTTGGGAGATCTTAATAGTTGACTAGAATTAAGGTTCTAATACCAATTCTCGCATTTGGATGTTTCAAAATTTGGATACTTTAGAATTGAAATTAGTTTGTTACTATATAATTAATACAATTTATACTTCATGTCAAAAAAATTTTAAAAAAAAACTTAATTTCCTATATCAAAATAATCTATTATGGATATGTATAAAACAAAACAAAAAAATCATTGTGTACATGTATATTAGATTACTTTGTTGTCCTTTAAACTAATCCTTTTTGAATTTTTTTTTATGTAATTTGCTATATTATTTTGTGATTTATTATGTACACAATTTTTTGTAGGAAACAAAAGAAATATTGTTACGTAAGAATTATTACTATGATATGTGGAATTCTCACTTAACACACAAACAAGTAACAAGTAAACATCCTTGTTTCCCTCTCTTTTATTACTTTTCAAAATTTTTTAATTTTTGATTTATTGATTTTTTTCCCTATATTTAGTAAAAAATTTTGTATATAATATAAATTCATTTTATGAATATAATGTTTATTATATATATATTGACATTATTTTATGAAATTTGCTTAAAATTTTTTAGTTTTAGTATATAGTTATATATGAAAAAATATATACTTAAAATTCAACTTACATAATTTTTGATGAAAAAATGGCATGTATTATTTAATATATATATATATATATATTAATATAGGTGTACATATGGAACAATTATAAAAGATTTTTGTAAATTTTATGGTATTTACTGTGTCAGAATATAATAAAAAATTCTAACCCAAAACAAAAATATTTATCTATTAATTTTTTTTGGGAGAATTATACTTTTGATTGTTTTTCTTCAAAAAAATATAATGCTAATTTTAGATTGATTTCGTTGATGATTATCAAATCGATAATAATAATAATAATAATAATAATAATAATAATAATAATAATAATAATAATAATAAGAAGAAGAAGACAAAAGCCGAAAAAAAAAGAAAAACACAACGAAAAGAAAAACAACTAGGGAAAGGGCTGAAAGCAAAAAAAGAAAAAAAGAAAAAAAAAAGAAAAAAGAAAAAAAGGACTTATGGGAAAAAGGAAGGGACGACCCGTTTATGTTATAACCCGGAAACGACCCGGTTTAGACCCGCGAGATTTTTTAAGTCCCTTGAATTTGGATTCTAATTATTTACCCCCATAAAAGAATTAAAAATAAAGAATTGAACCCAAAATAGTATTCCAATTCTAATTCTTCAACTTCGATTTTTGTCAACCAAACACAAGAATTGGAATTAAAGAGCTCCAATTCCAATTCTTGGTCGCAATTCAACGCAGCCAAACAGAGCCAATAAATTTGTACTTAGAGTGTAAACTGAGAGAAATATGATTTACTCACCATTATTGTTTTCTCAATTTATTTTATTAATTATTTATTGTACATATCATCATTTTTTATAGGACAAAATTCACTCTTAACTGCCAATGTTTGAACTAATTGCAAATCAAGTCACTACAAATGATTAATAGTCAGTTTTGGCCACTGTCAAATTTTTATCCAACACTTTTTGTTAATTTGACGGAAATTAAATCATGTCCATGGAGAAAAATGTTGTGTTTACGGGGGAAAAAATTCACTTTTGACTACTAAAGTATGACATTATTCCATACCAAGTTACTTAAATTTTAGAATGAATTACCCAGAAGGTCGAACTATCCAAGAGTTTACAGCTTGATTAGTGCTAAATTTAACTATAGCATGCCCACATCAATATTTTTGAGTTTCAAAAACTCTTACAAAAGATAAAAACTCAAAGAATACACATCAAGACTCTTCATTAGATATTGAATAATGGGATTTTCTTCCAAAGAAGCTTTTGCATTTTCAGCTCTGTACATGGCTTCAGCAACAAGGCCCATGTCTTGTTGATTTCTTTAACAAAGTTATAATACAATACAAAATGTACAAGGTTTCAGCCGCAAAAATGTGACATTGATGAGAGAAGGGGGGAGGGTCGGAGGGGGGATGAATAACTCCTATACTTATGTCTTAGGAACTTTGGTAACGAAGCTTTGGTCCCGAATACTTATGTTTCATCAGTCCTGCCATACACTTGTTTGCTTTGAAAAAAAAAAAGAAGAAGAAGAAGAAAAGAAAGCGTGCGTTTGCTATATTTCATTTGCCAAAGGATTATACCTTATTAGCTTCGTCTATGAAGTTTAGACAATAGAAGAATTATCCCTTATCATTTATGTGTAAAGGTTTTGTGACTGAAAAACTTATTTGTGACTGAAAAACTACACCTCATCAGCTCTGTATAAAGGTTCTGTAGCAGAGGGATCTGCTTTGTCAATTTCACTAAAAAGTTATGGTACAACACTAAGTTTCATCTTGGTACAAGGTTTAACAAACGACAAATTTAGTTTCATGTGAGACATGCCTTTTTCATTAAATAAATAAAATTTAAGCTTATGTTTTATTGGCAAAGCACAAAGTTTTAGTAACAAAGGTTTATGACTCGTAAACTTTGCTAACAAAGCTTTGGTGTAAAAGGCTTATGCCTTTTTTTTTTTTTTCAGTTTTCTTGAAGGCTATTGCCTCATTATAGGTTTGCCAATAAAGTTTTCAATATCGGTTCGATCAAACATTTATACAACATAAATTTTGCCATGAAGTTATGGTAGCAAAGGGATCATTGCTTACAATAGGTTTTTCCAAAGGTTAAGTCTTATCACTTCTGTCAATGAAGTTTGAGCAATAAAGATTTTCTCTATCACTACATCGTTCACCAAAGCTTGGACAACAAAAGTTTATAGCTTTATCAGCCTTGTACAAATCTTAGGGAGCAAAATGTATACTCCTTATCAAGGTTCACAGTAACTTTTGATAAACAAAGAGCATTCACTAGATCAGTGAAAGACTTTACACCATATCACTTTCAACAACCAAGCTTTGCCAACAAAGATTATGCTTCAAAGTTTAAGCTCTGGAGACAAAGGCTATGTTTTGTAACTTTACAAACAAAGGTTTTGTCTTATACTTATAAAGGTTTCTATTTTAATTGCATTGTGCTTTATTTATATAAGTGTACTTATGAGGCAATAATTCTTTCCATATAAGCATCGAACCATATGCTTGAACTAAGAAGGGAAATACAGTGTATTGCTTATTTATTACCTACAATATATATGCATTTTATTTGTGAATTTTGTAAATAATAAATCAAAGACATAACAAATCTTTAACTCAGCATAAGACTCTTCTTTTAGCCACAGAAATCATGAATAAAAGACGTAACAAGTCTTTTGATTCGGCTTTAGCCTCGTAAATCTAAATCAAAGATATAACAAATATTTAGTTCGGCAAAAACTCTTTTTTAGCCGCATAAATAAAAAATCACATAATAAGTCTTTAGATTCAACTTTAGCCTCATAAATAGTAAATCAAAGATATAACAAATCTTTGATTCAACAAAAGATTCTTATTTTAGCCGCATAAATCATAAATCAAAGACAAAACAAGTCTTTTGATTCGGCTTTTAGTCGCATAAATTATAAATTAAAGACATAAATAATAAATCAAAGATATAACAAGTCTATTCATTCGGCTTTAGCAGCATAAATCATAAATGAAAGACATAACAAGTCTATTCATTATTCGGTTTTAGACTCATAAATCAAAGATATAACAAGTCTTTTGATTTGGAAAAAGACCATTCTTTGGGCTGCGAAACTATAAGTTAAAGGTATACCACATCATGTGCGACTATGAATTTTGATATGATAAATTTCTCAGTATTTGACCAGACAAATGTCAAGAAATGGCCTTTAGCCAAAATAAACTTGCATGCGAGATTGTGTAACACTTTCTTTTTATGAATTTAGGACAAAAGTTTCTAAATTCGTGAGATTAAAATTTGTCCCTTCATATTATCATTTGGACTAGTGGTTGGTAGTCAATATGGTGAGATTGGGAGTTGGATTCAATTAAATATTCTCAACTTCAGTGATAGTAATAGGGGTATATTAGAGAAATTATAGATAAAGTTAATGTTAATGTTTGAAGTGAGACTAAATTTTGGAACATCTCAAAGGGGAAAGTTAGCCTATTGAATTGAGATGGAGGGAGTAATTTTGTTTTGATTCACACATTTTGTCTTTGACTTTTTTATTTTGAGGTAAAATATTTTTGTTGCACCTTAGGCACTTATTTCAGTTTTGTCTCATAGCCTTGTTTTTGTTTTGCTTCAGTCAGGCCTCACCTCGAACTCTTGTTTTTGAGGTTGTTTCACTTCAAAAACTATTTTTTATTTCGCTTCAGATCCTGCTTTTGCCTCATAGC